TTCCGAGGAGTGGCTGGTGGGTTTGAACCGCCAGCCTTCTGGTTAGCAGTCAAGTGCCTTAGCCACTATGCTACCAGAGCTCCTATATATATAATTATGAACTAGCTATTTTGAAGTATAATATTTTATTAACATACCAGTGTTGCTATTTTTATAATAACATTAATAGTGGTTAACTGGTTCCATAGCAATGCCATGTAGAATTGTAACACAACTTACCACACAGTCTCCTGTGTTAGGTCCTCTTAATAATATTTTCAATTACTCAGTTGGAAATTTCTCTTTTTATTTTAAATTCATATTTCTAGATTCTCAAGCTCTTAAACATTTTTCATGAAATTACTATGAAAAAAATTAACTATTGCCTATTATCTCTAGGGTTTTAGCCGCCCCCCCCCCCAGAGAAATAGGCTGGCTACAAAGAAAGACCATTAACATGTTGCTAATATTTGATTCAACATTTTCCTCAGTTTGTATGTTATAATTTGAGTGCATTTTTGATGTTAAGAATTTAAGATGGTGGTATTGTGAAAATGTTCTCTCCAGAGTTTCTCCTTCTTCTTTTTTTAAATTGTATTTCCGGAAGGACTGCTAGTGTCCAGGATTGTCTAAAGCATTAAGCATGTGTATCAGTGAGCCCCAGACCCTACCCTGAGTTTAAATGTCAGTTTTCAAAAAGACACAGTTGTGAAAGGGTAACAATTCCATTACTAGATACATTTGTTTTGAAAAAGAACAGGGATTGATCAGATGAGTAAACATGAAAAATTTTTTGAATTAATGACTTTGTTATCTTCTCCCTCCTTCAGATTCCCATGTTCCTTGAGACTCAGCTCACAGAGTTAGACAATCCCCTGCCCATTCCTGTGGCTTTAAAGTTGTGAGTGAATCAAGATAGTGATTATAGTGGTGACTTCATCCTCTTATCTCCCACCTATCCCACTGCTGTTCTCCAATTTATCCATACTACTTTGAGTCACATTTTCTCTCAGAGCAAACAAGGATAACTCAAACTTACTGCCATTGAGACAGATCCGACTCATAGCAACCCCTCCTTGGGTTTCTGAGGCAGTATCACTATGGAAGTAGATTGCCCAAACTTTCCTCTGAGGAGTGGCTGGTGGGTTTGAACCACCAGCCTTCTGGTTAGCAGTCAAATGCTGGAGGTACTACGCCACCAAAGCTCCTCACCTAATGTATATAGAAGGCTAAGTCCCAGTCACTGTTTTACATAATGTAATTGCATCAAGTCCCACACAACTTTAAGAGGTATGTTATTATTATTACTCCTCTTTATAGGTGAGAAAGCTGAAGCACAGAAGAATATTTAAAACTCTTCCAGGTCCATCAGTCAGAGGCAGAGCCCAGATTTGAACCCAGCCACCCTGGCACTAAAAATCATGCTTTTAATTAAACACTACATACCTTGCACAAATTTGTAAACAATTTGTAAATTGTTTCAATTATTTAAAAATCCAGTTTTACTCATGTGTTTCAAATCTAATGGGTCCATGCTGTAAAGATTAAACTTGAGGCTCATGACATACTGACTCCTTTGGCCACCTGGCCAGCCTTGAGGAAGGGCTGCACAAACCCTGGATCTGGGTTCAAAAGACACAGAGAGGCAGCCAAGCAAAGTTCCTCTGTGTTCCTCACTTATTCTCTCTGCCTCTTCTCTCCTAGTGGAGCCTGTGGTGACTGTGTATCCTGCAAAGACTCAGCCCCTGCAGCACCACAACCTCCTGGTCTGCTCTGTGAATGGTTTCTATCCAGGCCACATTGAAGTCAGATGGTTCCGGAATGGGCAGGAAGAGGAGGCTGGGGTTGTCTCCACAGGCCTGATCCAGAATGGAGACTGGACCTTCCAGATCCTGGTGATGCTTGAAGCCATTCCTCAGAGGGAAGACGTTTACTCCTGCCAAGTGGAGCACCCAAGCCTGACCAGCCCTGTCACAGTGGAATGGAGTGAGAACTATCTGCCCTCATGACTTCCTCGCTCCCAAGAAGGGGGACTTTGCTTAACCCTGAGTGTCAGGTTCCTCTTCCCACACTGTATTTTCATTTGCTCCTTGTCTCTTCTTCAGCACAGATCACTGAAGGTAGCTCTGTGATTGCTTCCACAAATACCTATGCCCCTGGGGAAGAAATTATGCCTAGCAGGCAGAAAAGAGGTTGTCTCTATTTTGAATCTTCTCATGATACCACAGGGCATGTTCTGGGCCCTGGGTACCGTTCCCCTGCCTGTGGGGCTGGGCTTCTACTTGTGGTACTGTTGCTCTGAGTTGTACCCATGTCCACTGTGATCTGAGAAGAGGAGCATCCTCTGCAATGTAGGGCCCTTCCTGCCACTCCAGACACGCTGCTTCACCTCAGAGTCCCAGCCTCTCACCCATCAGATGTGCTGGTCAAACCTTATGTCAGGGGTGTGATATTTAAGGAATTCAGTGTCTGAACCCCCTATCTACTCAATGTGAGTTTTAAACATTTTTTCCCCCTGAAGTGGCCAATCATTCTGTTTTGCAGAGCAGGCTTCATCCCTTATTCATAAAGCTCTGAATCTCAGGTCTCAATTAGAAAAGTTGTTTTGGGGTTAAAATCGCTAAATCTGGCTTCTTTCCTTAGGAGCACAATCTGACTCCGCACAGAGCAAGATGCTGAGTGGAATCGGGGGCTTTGTTCTGGGTCTGCTCTTCCTTGGGGTGGGGCTGTTCATCTACTTCAGGAATCAGAAAGGTAAGGAACCTGTTGGTAGCTGAGATTCCCCATGGACTTCTGTGAGGGAAGAAATAGGGCTTTGTTCAAGGTAGTTTTCCTTATAGTGGTAACTCTGTATAAGCTTTGTTTCCAGTCAATCTGAGAATCCAGAAATAAAGAGCCCATTTTGTTGTTGTTGTTGTTGTTGTTTGTCAAAGCACTTGGGTTGTAACCAGTGGCAATTAAAAAAGCCTCCTGTGCATAGAGATCTTGGATCAAGATTCCGGGGCAAGTGAAAGAGGGGCCGCTAAGGCTGATCAGTTATGCTGGGTGTGTGTGACAGAAGCTTCCCAGATTGCAGGCTCCCAGACTCTGCTCGCTTCTCTGTCATTGTCTGATATGGGTTGCAGTGTTAGAGAAATCTCAAGTGGGAAGTCTAGAACTGAGGAACTGGTGGGGACAGATTTGCCTCTGTATCTTACAAGCATATCTTCTTCTCTTTTCCCCAGGCCACTCTGGACTTCAGCCAACAGGTAATGTCCATTAATGCTCTTTTAGAATTAGATTTGGTTCTTCTAGAGCTGATAGCAGACATAACAAGATGGGAGACAAAAATATCAAGAAAAACTTTGGATTCAGACTTCTGATCAGACATTTGTCAGAAAGATTCTTCTCTCTGCTTAGAAGCCCTGCGCAATAGAGCAGCATTGGGTCATGGAGGCTTAGGGCATTTCTTTTCTTTTTTGTGATTGGCTTGCTGTAAGGTGAGTCCCTGACAGAGGGGAAAGAAGTTACTAACCCTCTTCTCTGTCTTTCTCAGGACTCCTGAGCTGAAGTGAAGGTGGTGACACTCAACAAAGAACCTTTGGTCCCAGCTACTTCGCAGAGTGGGAAGATTTCATGCTTTGCTCTTATTCTTCAACAAAGAGTGCTTCTTCAGGATGAGGCTCAGTCCTGGTTCAGTGATCCTACAGAAAATGTCCTCCTTGATGGATTCCCTCAGCCCCTAGCCTTGGCCTGGAGTTCCCAATATTGCTTATAGTACCATGTGTTCATTTTTTCCTAGTTTCCTTTTAGTTCACCCTTACTCCTTCCTGTGAACCTGAACTTATCTTCTGCTCACATTACTGTTATATGAAAGTTTCTAAAATAAATACGGAGTAAAAATCATCTCTTTCCTACAGCTTCAAGAAAAAGAAGTCAAAATAAAAGAGAAAAGGAGGATTGATCACACTGTAGCACAATAAATGTTTTCCCTTATGTTCCTGAATTTTGGTCAGATGTGGGCCTGGGAGATTCCCTTGCTTCCTTGCCTGCTTTTCCTTGGTTTTCTGTAAGGTACATTTAACTGAGCCAGGAGAAAGCACTTTGATACCCTCAAATCATGGTGGTCTCCTACACCTTTGCATCATCAAGGACAAATAGACAGCAGCAGGGGTGGGAGGCAACAAACATGAAAAGCAATAGTGTTTGGAATTACTAAGTTATCAGTATAAGGAATAATCTTCATGAAGTCCTCCATATTCTTGTTGGACAGCATCTATTCATGCTTTGTATATGTGAACATACTGAGGTAACAAATGCCAGCCAGAAATCCAAGTATGATGAAAAAAAGCCAAATGTCTAAGACTATTGTTTGCTTGATTTTGAGAACTTAACATGCTTATATGTGATTTTATGAAGAAAATTATATTTTTTAGGGAAATGTTTTCTGAAAAAGAAGCAAAATGAGGAGTGACCAACTCTATGATACACTCAAACATACATCTATTTTAGGAAATATGTTTCTGCTATTGATTCATGATTGGTTAAATGCACCAGTGAAACAGAGTTGAGAATTAAATATCAAAACACTTGAGGTTTACTCTAAGATGAAAGTAGAGTTTCTAGTTGTCAATAAGGGCTATCTTAAACTCATTGATTTCAACAAAATATAAAGAAGTACAAAAATAATTAACAAGGTATTTATTATTATTTTTATTGCTATTATCATCATCTTTGTATCTAGGTTTATTAATTTAAAAATAAAATACCTTTCCAAACCTTGATGCATTCCTGGTTGAAATACAAGATGTTAAAGCACTTTGGAAAACAGTTTGACAGTTTCTTAAAAACATAAACCTTCGTCTGTCATGTAGTTGTTAGGTGACGTCAAGTGGTTACCTACTCAAAATGTTGCCTGGTGCTGCACCAGCCTCACAATTTTGCAAGCACTGTGTCAATCCACCTTGTTCAGGGTCTTCTCTTCTTTTTGCAGACCCTCTACTTTACTGAGCATGATGTCCTTCTCTAGGAGCAGGTCCTTCCTCATAGCATGTCCAAAGTACAAGAATCAAAGTCACTATCCTCATTTCTAATAGCAGTGTGGCTGTACTTCTTCCAAGACAGATTTGTGTGTTCTTCTGGTAGTCCAAACAGTAATATCTTACTTGCATGTGATATTAGTGATATTGTTCTATAATTTCTACATTCTGTGGGATCACCTTTCTTTGGAATGGGCACAAATAT